CTGGCAAATGAAAAGTGAGAAAATGTTTAAAGAATTCTTCAAATTTCTGCCTTAAAAAATGTTCCATGCAGCAATCTGTTCTGCTCTCAGGGTCACTGATAGATAGCACATACAAACTGATCTAGACAGGCAATGGTTAGTTAGTCCACGTTTACTGAGAAGAAAGGGAATCTGAGGTAAGTGGGTATGACAAAGGATAGGGAAGAGTCCATGAAGGTTGCATGTAGAGGTTTAGGAAAGACCAGAGGGGAGGGAGGAGTCACAGGTAAAACACTTAAAATAAGTCTGAAATGTTGTGGCCTAAATTGATCCACTGGCTGACAAGCACAAATGCATACTGAGCCACCAGGCAGGCACAGCAGGGGCATGCCAGGCCTTCCAGGTGTAGGTCACAGGAGCAGAGGGCTGAGGAGCAATCCCAGTCCCAACTGAGATGCCGTTCAGGAAATACACGCACTGTGCCTTTAACGCAAGCTCCTTTTCACGAGGGAGAAGATGACAGGTGGGTGATCATTGGTTAACAGAAAACTTACATATTTCTCCACTTCCTTTTCGTTTTTTTTTTTTTTTTTCTCGAGACAGGGTTTCTTTGTGGCTTTGGAGCCTGTCCTGGAACTAGATCTGTAGACTAGGCTGGCCTCGAACTCACAGAGATCCGCCTGCCTCTGAGTGCTGGGATTAAAGGCGTGCGCCACCATCGTCCGGCCTTCCTTTTCGTTTTTAATTATGTGTGTCTACACACACACACACACACACACACACACACACACACACACACGGGCTCTCAGTGTCCAGAAGAGGGCACCAGATCCCCTGAAACTGAAGTTACAGGTCATTGTGATGTGGGTGCTAGAAATCAAATTTGGGTCTTGTGGGACAGCGGTAAACATGTGTAACTGATCAGTGAGCTACCCGCCCACATTTCTTCACTTTCCGGAGGATATATTTAGGTACAGCAGAGGTCACAAGCAGAACGATTTGTATGTGACTTACCTCTCCCCAGTAACAGTCCTGCACCCTTTAGGTTAATCCACGGACAACAGCAGAATCCAAGGCTTGAGCCCACAGATGGCGAGAAGAAGCTGGTAAGCTCCTTTGAGCTGTACCAGCCCAGGGCTGTGTGACTCAGGATAAATAATTTACCTTGCTTCCTTATCAGATTCCCTAACTACAGATCAGGAACTCATCATTTTATAGACCTGCATCGCCACAGTAGACTGGGATACGGGCAGGGATCAACTCAAATTCCTTCCCAGGCAAATTCCTATGCACCTGAATTAAGGGAACTTGAGTAATGGCCCCCTTGTGCCTTTAATCCTAGCTACCAGGATGCTGCCTCTGTTGGAGATCAGCTACAGGGACAGGGAGGGGAAAAGGGACTCAAAGGGATTATCAGGATGGCAGCTAGTATCCTGGTAGAGATGCCTGGGAAATAGCTCCTGGGGAGGAGACCCAGAGACTCTGGAGTAATGAGCAGACACAGACCTACAAAGTCTGGAAAGGGGCAGAGTAGGTTTGGAGACCCCTCGGTAAATGTGGTTGAAAAGAAAGAGAAGTTGAGAGGGCAACCCGGCTAAGACAAATGAAAACAAACCCGCAGTGGCTTGAGGGGAGGAGGACGAAGCCTTAGGGGAGACTTTGGCACGGGTGCTGGAGGGGGAGACGGCAGTCATGTTGGGTACTGTTGGTGGACAAATAGCTGCAAATTGGCTAGGGGGCCCTGAAAGGCTGTGCCATATTAGGGTTAAGTGTGCAAGTCCAGAATTCTGTCTGATTTGGGGCAGATGGAAGTGATGGAAGATCTATTAAGTCTCATTTTCTTCCTGTGTATGTGGCAGGGGTGCTAATATCTATCTTTATGGTCAGAAATTGTTGTGATAGGAGTGGCGGGCTAAGTTCCCGGCACTCGGCCGCCCGCACAACTAGCTTTATACCCGAAATAATTACACGGAAACTGTATTCTTTTAAACACTGCTTGGCCCATTAGTTCCAGCCTCTTACTGGCTAGCTCTTACATATTGATCTAACCCATTTCTAATAATCTGTGTAGCCCACGAGGTGGTTTACCAGGGAAGATCTTAACCTGTGTCTGTCTGGAGTGGGAGAACCATGGCGACTCACTTGACTCAGCTTCTTTCTCCCAGCATTCTGTTCTGTCTACTTTGCCTACCTAATTTTCTGTCCTATCAGAGGCCAAGCAGTTTCTATATTACTTAACCAATGAAACAACAGATAGAAAGATGACCCTCCTCCATCAAGAAATGAATATCAAATGCAAAGCACTTACAGCGCTTCCTGGTTCACAGCGAATGCTCGAAATATTAGACCTGGTAATAATAATAAAATACTTCAGCTGTCTTTGAGTGTTATGACGGAGAGCTCAAGGTCAAGTCTCTCACACTGTAGTAGAAAATAAGAAGGCAACTGCGATTAAACTGACCCAGGGCACATTTGATTTCAACTTTTGTTTTAAATTCTCTCTTCCTATTACTCCTCAAAAGAATTTACTTGAAAATTATCCAAAATCTTTGCTTAAGAAACTCTTATGTTATCGACCACATTAAATATTTTTCAAGATCCCAAAAGGTATTTTCTAGATCAATAACTAAATAATGTAGGAATAGCTTATGATTCTACATAGAGTATATATACAATTTAAAATTATCCTGATAAAACTTCAACTTGAGGTTTTATTTGGAAGATGCTGAATTTGCATCATCATCTCTCATAATTTCAAGAAAAAAGTTAAGGAATCACAACCACTTATTAAAAAAATTGAAATGGGAGGGGGAAATTATGATAGCTAATTTCTTTTTTCATTTAAGAAATGGGATGAGTCTGTGGGGGTAAGAACTTGAGAGGGTTATGGGGTGTTGCCTCCCCCTGAGGCACTGTGTTATGGGGCTGATTTTCTCACCTCCCTTGCCAGGCTAGACAACCAGGATGTCACTCCTCCCTGGGCATCAGGGAGAACCTGTGGTGCTTTCAAGAGGAGATGCTCCCGGCTAGTCAGCTCAACAGAGCTGTTTAGTGTTTTGCTTGGCTTGGGAATGTGGGCCTCCTATATTCTCATTCCTTAACTGGGTCATGGAATTGGTAACAGGAAGAGTGGTTGAAGTGGGATGTTAGACAGATCTGGAATTCACTTCTGAAAGACCAGAAATTCTTTCTTCCTTCTGTTCTTTTAATATGCTGTCTTAAACAAAGAAACAAACAAACCAAATACAATACACCCCCCTCCAAAAAAAAAAAAAAAACAACAGGAGCGTAGTGGAAGCTAAGTAGGTGACTTATAGATTGTGTAGTTTCTGTTTAGAAGGGTGTTATGGACAAACCTGAGAAATGAAAATGTTAAGAACTCAGGCTCACGGGTTGTATTCACAATCTTCATGTTTGGTGGCAGGAAATTCTAAATGGTCTGTGGAGGAGGTGGCAAAGATAGTCTCTGTGCTTTATAAAGCTATCTAATGCCACTGACTAGGACCAACATCTTGGCCTCGAGGGAGGTCCCGAAGTGTAGGCAATGAACCTACTTTTCAGACAGTTGGGCCCCAAATTGTGTCTCTGCGTGCATATGACCTTGGACTAATTAAATTATCTTTGCATGTTTATATTTGCTAATACCTAAAATAGGTTGAATACGATTTGCTTCACAGAGCTTGTGAGAATGACTCTTGCAACAGCCTAAGTGTTGTGCCTGATACAGACCTTAAGCGCGCAATAAATTACTACCAGTTGTTAGAGCACTTTAAACTTAAGAGAACATTTCAGTTAGAGACCCTTTCAGTGGGGTAAGCTAGGACCAGGACATGGAATCTGCAGCTGGAGCAGCGCCCTTGGAGCCGAGCTGAGAAAACAGCACCTCACTCTAGTGGCAAAAGGGAGGGGAGTCCTGAGCTCTCACGTGTGTGTGTGTGTGTGTGTGTGTGTGTGTGTGTGTGTGTGTGTGTTGGGGAGTGCTTGACCTTCTTCGACGCCCCTCCTCACTCTGGTACCCTATAGGGAACTCTCAGGATCCTTTACCTGAAAGCAGGGGTATCCTTTAAAGAATAATTGACTAGAGTCGAATCATTAGCCTGCTTTTGGGTCAGGCCAGGCGCACACAGCAAAAGCCCATATTAGCCCTTCGGTTCCAGGCTTGTTTCTTTGCGGCTTGGTGCATCAGGCACTCTTTAGCACCCCGCCTTGCTCCCTGGGGACGCGGGCGAGGGGCGCACACCACCCAGCCAGACCGCACCGCGGCGCACGCGCACACGCTCGCCTAGCGCCCAGCGGAGGAAGGCCTAGAAAGTTCCACCGGCTTCCAGAGACCAAGGTTGGTAGGCGCGGAGGCGGCGGGGAACGGGTGCGTGTCGAGCGAGGATGCGGCCTCCCACGAGTTGCTGCAGACCGTGTCCGCAGCCCGCAGGATAGGGGACAGAGAGAATATCCCGAAGCTCGAGCAGGAACCCGCGGAGGCGCAGCCGCGGGCGCCCCGAGTGGCGGGGCGGGGCCTGGCCTGGTGGGCGGGGCCCCAGGTGGGCGGGGCGTTCCGTCTGCGCAGCTGCCAGAGTCTTTAAGCCTGGCTCGCGCGGTCGCACGGTGCTTTCGCTGCCCGGGAGCTCACCGGCCCGTCTTCCCTCGTCCCCCTCGCCGCTCTGCGCCCCGCGTCCCCGCCCTCGGAGTCCCGGCACCCCGGCTCGCCTCGACTCGGCGCCGCGATCCCGGGCCATGCCCCGCTACGAGTTGGCTTTGATTCTGAAAGCCATGCGGCGGGTAAGTGACCTTCCCTCAGACCGGTTCCCGCGCGGGCCCGCCCCGCCGCCTCTAGGCCTCCCAGCCCCGCGTCCCCGGCCATCTGGACACCGGGCGGGCCCCCTCGCGCAATCGTTCCACGGGAGGCCGGGTGCGCAGAGGGGGCGCGCATGGGTCGGGCGCTCGGCGCGGCCGGGTGCGCGCGGGAGGCGGGGGAGGGGGGGTGTGCCCGCGCGTGTGCGCGGTCGCGGGAGGGGGGTGTGCCATGTACGCAGGGGCCGAGGCTGGCCTCGGACCCCGGCCCTCCGGAGTGTGGTGGAAGGACCGCGGAAGGACACGCGAGAGAGCCGAGGCCGGCCCCGCTCTACTCCCACGCGTCGAGAAGCTGCTCGTGGTCCCCGCCGGCCGCTCGTCTCTACTGCCTGTCCTCAGCGTCAGTGATCAATACAACCTTCCTCCAAAGCCTGTCGGTGCCGACTGTGTACCCCAGACGCTTGTCCCCGCTGTCACACTTAAAAAAAATCCCTTTGACCTCTCTTTTTCTGACTTCAGCGAAAATCCTGCTCCTGGTACCCTTAGCCCAGTTTTCATTCATTCAACGGTGGCCTTGCTTGCGCCTTCCGAAGACATGTTCTCCCACACCCTCAACCCCCAGCTTTTGATTGATCTTGAGGTAGGGACTTTCAGGTCTGGAGGGATGATAAGCCACCAGGAGCCGGGTCACGGACTGGGGTCGGCGGAGGCAGCTATCTTCGTCCTCTGGTCCTCTGTTGTGAGTCAGGCTCTCCTCAGTCGTCGCTGACACCCCCATTCTGCTGAGAGAATTCGGTAACGTAGTGTGCTTTTATGCTCTCTCCTTCCCCAGCAGGTATAATTTAAAACAAAACAAAAGCATCGTTGTGCCTTGCTTGTACTTTGGAAGCAGCCTTCTTCAGCACCGGTCATGTGGGCTTTGGGTCAATTTCAAGTAGTCACTTCAGTTTGCATATGCTAATCCAGGGATCCTGAGCGAAGGCTCTGAATGACTTCATTGCTGTAGAGCATGAAGAGATGTTAGGTATGCCTTACACAAGGTTGCCTGGGAAGGGACACTCCAGCCACCTGATGGTCCTGAGGTCTAGCCAGAATGCCATGGTGTCCCCAAGCTGCCTTGCTCCCCAGCTCTGGGAGAATTTTATGTTGTATACTTTCTCTACCTTCCTTCCCCTTTGGATTGCACAGCTTTAAGAGGGTGGGAATAACAGGGGTGGGTGGTAGTGGGTACAGAGTGTTAGAAGGGGACCGTTTCTGATTAAGTGGAGATAGTTTCTGGCCTCCTTTCACACTTTTTAGATAGTGTCAGAGACTGAAGAATGTGACCACCAAAATTCCGTTTCGTCTTGTCTTAGGCAGGGGTAAGGACACAAGCAGGGGATCTCTAAAGAGGTAGGGTAGAGACGTGTATCCTTTGAGTGAAAGCATACACCCTTGCTTAGCGTGCTTGCCAGCTAAATGTACTTTACCATATAGATATGTGTTTTCGCTCTAGGTCAGAAGTTGTGTGTAATTTGATTAAAATAACCTGCTCAAAAATCTTTGCTTAGAAAGTAGATGTTTAGACACTCCCTGGGTAAGAGGGACCATAGGATAAAGAAGGCACCAGCAACAGTTCTTAAACCCAACAGTGTTGAGATCTCTAGCCCAGATAAACTAACAAATCTCGGTTTTTTTATTCTGACTTTGTAAACAATTAACAAAGATGTGCAGGTTTTAGACAGTTTTGTTTGTTCTCAGTTTTAGAAAGCTGAATTCTAACAGGATGTTGGGGGTATAAAGGAGAAAGTGCTTGTTTAATATGTAATACCAGAGCCACGGTTCCAGCCTTGGGTAGTTGCTGCTGCAGCAGGAGCCCTGAACCCTTAGTTCTGAACTGCACGCTGGATTCCCTCCCTTCTGTCCTCCAAGCAGTTTGTGTTCTTTGACCCGAGAGGGTTAAGCCTGGCAACAGGAAAGGGAGTTAGAGACTAGTTTCCAGCCTTTGTCTACCAGAGTTGTGCTTTTGTTTCTTCTTTGCCTACAAAACAGTTGTAATTTCTCTTCCCTTTGAGGTTGTTCGGCAGCTGCACTTTCAGAGTTGGAAGCTACATGCTGACCCCCACAGTGCCTCTTCAGTGGGCTGCCTGTGCGAATTCTGGGGCCATCACCTCACTTCGTAGTTGGGGCTGATTATTATGAGCCCTGTGTTTGTTGCATTTCCAAGTTTGTGTGTTTCTGTGTGCAGACCACCATCCTCAAGATTGTTGGGCTTGGATTTTAGTGTAGTAAAAAGTTGTGATTTCTGTATTCTGTAGCCTAAAAACAAGGTAAAAATGTGGCTCCCATCTGAATGTAGCACAGTGACAGGTGATTGGAGGTGCTGACCAGGCCATCTGAGAAGTAGTTGTTGAGAACAGCCTTGGGTGGTTTCATAGAAGAGACCTGCCTTGGGCTTGGGAAGCCCTCCTACCCCAGGCTTCCTGGAGCTTCTGGAAGGACGTAGCTGCAGAGGGACAAGCTGCAGCTCCCAGCTTCGCGGTTCACAAGGATCACCTATGGGGCAGTGGGTGTTCCGCTCCCCATCTGCAGAAGACCGGTCAGGTGGATTCGGGTGGGGCTGAGCTGTGGTGTGTGTGTGTTGTCTGGGAAGAGAGCTGCTCACCTTCACTTTGTAGTTACCACATTCTAGCCCCGAAGTTCTTTGTAGGGCTTTGTTTATGTTTTTTAAAACCTGGAATGGATATAGAAGAGGCAATTTTTAGAAAAAAAAATCTGTGTGGTATGTAGATACTCTTTGGTCACATGGTTCAGAAACACGTTGTTAGGTCAGAAGATGGGTCACAGAAGGGGTAGATTTGTGACAGCCCTAGGGAAATGCTTTTCTGGTAATCATGCCATCATTACTCAAGAATTGTTAGATGAGTTTAAACCATATGAATATTTAAATAATGACTAGTTGAAGTACTAGATGAATGGATGTACAATAAAATAGCATTTATGTTCCTTCTATATATACAGAATTTTAGAAATAGGGATTGAATGGTGCAGTGGTACATGTCTGTCATCACAACACTTGGGTAGTGGAGACAGGATCCTGCGTAGTGAGTGGGAGGCCTGCCTGGAATGCATAAGGAACTGTTTCAGAAGAGCAGCAGATATACTACATGGGGGTAAAATAGGTACTTATCTCATGAAGACTTCGTGTTCATGCTCCCCGATGTTAACTTCAGGGACAAGCAGATTCTGTTTTCAGTGACTCACTTAAGTAGTGTGTAGGTTGTGGTTCTGGGTATCCTGTGGCGTTAGATATAGAAGACTGTCAGAAATGAACTCTTTAAGATGCAGAGGGCACTGATTTCCTAAGTTCAGAGCAGAAGAGGTTCTCACAGTTTCTTTCACCTGGGCCTTTTTGGTAAGACAGCCTGGCCAAAGTTTTGTGGAGTTCCGAAGCTGTGACTAAGTTAGGATATTTGGGAAAGAATGCTAGGATCGGTAGCCTCCTATGGGCCTTTCAGAACTCATAGGTGGGCTGGCCGACCTGGCCACCGTAGCCTGGCTGGCCTGACAGCATTTGCTTTCAGGACACGGCGAGGTTTCTGCTGTTAGTCGGTGCAGAGGTGGGGTGGAAGTGTCGGCTGTCAGGTGAGCGTGTCAGTCGTTTCTTTGTCTTTGGGCCCAGCCATATCAGCTTAGCTCGGGTCTCTAATACCCTGTCTTGGCGCTGTGGTAGAAGCTGTGCATTTTCAAACTCTCTGTGAGCAGTGCTCTGGTTTGATTTGGCGTTTAAGTTCTTGGGTTCCAGTTCTCTGCAGCCACAGGGGACAGAAGGAGGAGGCCTCCTCTGCCCTGAGCTGTGGATGAGGAGTCCTTCCCTGTCAGACATGGTTTGTATATCTGACAGTCCTGTCAGATGCTCACCTTCTACCCCACTGGACTCCTGCACTCACACTAATGCTCACTAGAGATTTTCTACTAAGTCTTATCACTAGAGAATCTCCTTAAAATGTCACATAGTGAGAGACGATTTGTGAAGAACACCTTCCATGTAGTAAGTACTGTTGCCGTGCTTCTCAGATTTAGTTGGTTTATCTGGTTTGGCTGAACGTGACAGTGGAAGGAAGGGTGGAGGGGAGAAGTCTGTCATGATTATTCATATGGCTAAAGGCTTTGGCAGTTGGTTTAATGGTCAGATTTTTCCTAGTTGACTTAGTCACTGGTTTTATAGTAGATTTTGTTTATGTATTCTCATGAGTTTATATATGCAAGAGAAAAGGGAACCTCCTTTTAATATTTCAGCTGAGAAGGCCATATTGTGAAACCATGAGATTTGTTGTCAACACATGTAATTGTTTTTGTTTAAGAAAATCAAACTTAAGGAATTAAATAAATGCCTGATAAGTTGTCAGTTTGCATAAAAGAGAAACTGCTGGAGAATTAATCTGTCCCTCTTGTCCTTATGTTACTGTAAAAGTAGAGACTGACAGACTGTTTCCCCCACTACTTACCCTTTTTATGGGCAATGTTCTAAGAAAGAGTTTTACATTTACTAGTTGAAAAAATGAGCTATAGTTTATGGGTCTGTGGGATTGAGAAAAGTCCAGATATCACAGTCTGTCAGCGAGCTTGTATTGAAGTATGATCCTGTGGAGTTTGTCATCCAGTGTTCTTGACTTTCTGTGGTGCTGTTTTCTGACTTTTCTTCTTTGATACTCCCTCATTTACATAGTTACACCTTTGATCATTTAGGTGATGTGTGGTTTTTGAATCAAGCCCCCAACTGGCTTTCCCTCTGCTTGTCATTAGACGCTTAGATACCACCTTGGCATTTCAGACTCAGTGTGGTTCAGACTTAGTGGATTGTGGTTCCCAGAATTGCCTGTTAGTTGGTTTCTAACTTCTCTGTTCTGTGGCCTGGGACCAAAACCTTCCCTCCTGTAGTCTCAGTGCGTGTGCTTCCAGCCTCAGATGAGCACCCTGGGATTCTTGAAGTTTGTTGGTGGCTTCTTGTCATGTCACTGAGGAGATGAGTTAGTACTCGTAAATACACTGTTGGAGTGCAAGGGTGTTTGTTCTCGGAACACTTTACAAACCTGAGATGAATTTTAATAAGGAAATAGCATTGTGTGGCATTGGATATCTGGTTTTCACACCAGTTGATACTGTGAACGCTTGCTGAGTCAGGGCACACTCTTCTCAGAAGTCAGAGATGTCACCATGTGATGTCATGGGGGCTCTGGTATAATTCCAGCCTACTTTTTTCTAACGTCCTCACTGCCTGTGTTCTCCATTCCAGATGCTGAGTGGCAGAGCTGTGGATCCCTGAATCTGCAGCTGCCTTTTGTTTCCTTGGTGCATGCATCTCATTGCCTCTCTGTCGGGAGGGCCTTCCCTTTTCATAAAACCACGCTGCTTCCATGAAAGCCTCCAAGATCTTTTCAGCTCGCTTGCTACCTTAAGCAGGTATCAAGGCCTTTCTTCCGCTGTTAATAATGTAGACAGATAGCAGTGTTCCCATTGTGAGCACTCCCCATGGTATGTGTCTTTCTCGCACAGCAAGTTGGTGAATGAGTCTTACCTCCTGTGCTAGATTGCAGCTCTCTTTGGTCAGGTGTGTTGTCCCTGTGGTTCTGTGCTGTGAGCATAATCGGTTCGCCAGCTGCCTTTCAGGGTCATTGCTGTCTGTAGTTTTAAGATACTATAGCATGGTGACCCCCTGTGCCAGGAGGTTTGCTGTCAATTCAGAGGAGCTTTCCTGCCCAGAAGTTCCACTGGTTTCTAAGATGATTTTATGGCAGAAAACCTTTTTTTTTATAGTAATTTGCTTATATAAATTGACCAAATGAAGGTAAACTTGACTCTGAAATCCAAGTTGGGATCTCTGGAATGTCTTGATACAAGGTGAGTGGCTAAAATCCTGGCTATAGAAGAAGGAGTGCCCCAGAGTGTCGTGGTCTCCGCGTCTGTGCATTTGCGTAGATTGCTATAATGAAGCTAGATGTGCCTTGTAGATGCGGCACAGCTGGCACAGAGAGACGGTCGCGGGGGAACTGGATCATCAGCACCATTCTCCGAGGGCTCTGGTCCCACATTAGGTTGACAAATGTACATAGTTCATGTACTAAAGCATTGAAGGGCTGTGGGGATGGCTTATGATTAGATGAGATGGATATGAGAAGAGCTCTGCTTCAATATGTGCAAAACCAGGGTTTTGTTTACTAAATGAACGTAAGAGTGGAAGGTCCCAAGTAAAGATATGGTTGCCGTGGTAGAATCAGTAAGAATTGGCGGTGGGAAGACCTGTAAGGTCCTTTAAAGGTAGATAGAACTTGTTTTAGATCCTAGCTCGCACTTCTAGGGTGTTCAACCACTTCAGACCCCCACTTTCTCATCTTGGTGAGAGTGACCTTTTTTAGAAGGCCTTTGAAGGTGGAGTGGGAAGTAGGTGTCCAGTACGCCTCTAGAGGAGCTCCCCGGACTCATCTGCCATTCCATTTACTGGTGATGCTTTGTAAGGTAAACTGACGATGCTTATTGTATTGACACCCGAGACTAGGATGCAGCTCTTCTCAGGCAGTGTCTGGAGTAGAGATGCTGGTGCTGCGCACTGCAGTCTGGCACTCCACTTGGGAGTCTGGGCGCATCAGCTCTTTTCTCTCTTGCTTCCTTACAGAAACCCAGCTTATATAGGAAATCAGATTTTTAAAGTGTTGCCCTGTGGGCTGATTGAGGTGTGCCTGGATCAGTTAGAGCTCTCATTTTGTAGTTTCTGATTTAGATATTGGATTTAAGTGGCTGGTTTGAGCCTTTTGGAGCATTTATGTAGACAAAGCCCACCTTGTTAGTCTGTCATTGGTTTATAGTAGGACCGATAGGACCAATAGGACTCAACAAACACCAAGCATGTTCAGTTCTTAAAAAACAGTGGCACCCCAGTTTCATTGCTAGATCATGTGACCATTCAGGCTGAAGTGTCCAGCAGAGGCTTCCGAGTTCCAGGAAACATAGGATGGTCTGACAGCGTGAGTTGTGAGAAATGGCCCTGTGCTTAGCTCGGTTTTGATTCTTGGATTATTTTAACATACTTAGTTCTTTTTGTTTTTCCTTGTCTCCCTCCCCCACTTCTCTCCAGGTAGAGTTTCAACTGTGCTAACCAGGCTTGCTTAGAGCTCCTTCCATAGCCCAGGCTGGCCTTGGTTCATGGCCCTGCTTCTGCCTCAGCCTCCTGTGGACTGGTGTTACATGCTCATCAGGTCTATTCGATTTGCACCCATTTTCTTAGTTTCTGAGGGGCTTGTACGGTGTTGCTTTGTGTGGAGAATGACACTGGGTCAGGGTGCGAGGAGGATGGCGGTAGGTTAACCTGTTTCCCTAGAGTAGAGCATTAGGAAACACAACGAGGACTTGAGACTTCAGTTTTTATTTGTGACTAGGCTTCGTATTTCTGTAGAGTAGAAACCAAGTTGGTACCACAACTAATTTTCTCTTCTTGTCTTTGTCCCTTCTTTACTCCTCCAGATACCTGACGTCAGATTGCAAATTTGAAACCTGAGGCCCGGGTGTTTGAACGTATCTTTTGGCCTATGGTTCAGTTGACACGCTTGGCTCCTTTTCCCTAACGATTTCTTCTGTGGTTACAGCGTCCCTGCTAAGGGTATCTACCTACTCTTTGGATACCCAGAGATTGGCACTTGGGTGAGAACATAAGAAGGAATTGCGGTTGAAAGCTCAGACTTAAGGAAGTATCCACTGGAGTCCTCACTCTGCAGGAACTGGCACTTGGTTGCTTTCCCCCGTAACCAACAACTCTTGTTTTTGGCTTTATTTAGATTTCACTTGAAAAAAAAATGTTCTTGACACCTATTCTGGCCATCAAATTCTTGGATTTTTGTCAGCCACAGCTTTGGGAATCTAGATTACTGTTTGTGTAGCCCAGTGTGAGAACGTTGTCCCCTGAGGAGGAGTGCAGAGCCAAGCGTGGTCAGTGGCTGGGAGCATGAGGACGTTGTCCTCGTGATGAGTACAGAGCCGAGCGTGGTCAGTGGCTAGGAACAGGTTCTCTGCAGTACCGTGCAGTGAACTGCAGAGAAGTACAGAAATGGTTTCATCTCTGATATACACATTGCAGATATGAAACATCCACTGGGTACTGCGATTTTGGTTCTGTTTTAAGGTGAGTTTCAAGACAGATGGCAAGTGAGAAGCTAACCGTGGGCCGTTTGCCTGGCACAAATGCTGCTTCTGTTTGCCCTTTAAATTACTAGACCTTGTTCAGTAAACGGTCAGTGTAGGTTGTTATGTTTCTTTGGCTGGTATACTGCCTGCCTTCTGTTTTGTTAGCTGTCTCAAGAAAGCACCTGTATGGAGTTTGTGGTCCCACAACCATAAGTCATCCGGGTTCTGATGGGGACAGTCCAAGCCTAAGGCCTTGGGGCACTTCTTGTCTCACAAGATTCCATTTTATACACATAAAAAGTTTTTTTTTCTTTCAGATTTAGTCGGTGTGAGAAAAAGAGTGAAGAAAACTTGAGAATTTCTCCTAATATCTTTGTTGTTGTTGTTGTTGTTAAATTTTATCTGATTAGGATGAAATCACTGGAATTTTTTTCTAGAGTTTCCAAGATCTCGTATGTTCTGCTATCCACAGGAAAGCAGTTCTGAAATGCTCTCTAACTTTTAGCCCCTTCTCTTGTCTCAGCTGGTGGAGAGGAAAGCCCCACTGCGCCCCCCTTTGTAGCGGCCTGTGCTCCTGCTGTGCTGGCTCGGGTTCCCTTCAAATGCTCTTCAGTTATTCTCTTCCTGCCCTTAGTTTTCTTTCTTGAAAAAGAGTTCTCTGCCCTTTAGGGAAAATTAGGACACAGCTAAAGTGTTTTTCAGAGGAGGCACAGGCTTAGGAGAGCTAGAGACTGGTCTACAGGAGCATCTGTCTGATGTGAGCAGAAAAGCCGTGCATATGTGCGCTAGGAACTGGTTCTCTAGGGACATGAGCAGGAACCAAGGAGGTCGAACTCTTTGTCTCTCCACCCCTTCTCTGTCTCTCTGTCTCTCTCTCTCTTCCTCTCCCTTTCTTTCTTGTGCACGCGCACACACACACGCGCGCGCGCGCACACACACACACACACACGCGCACGCACACACACACACATACCATGAAGGTGAACTATATAATGCTGACTTGGCTGAGTTTTACTGCTTTAAGCCATGTGGGTGTTAGCCGTAGTACTGCCTAGTCTTAGTGATTCTGAAGCAGATGCTGTGTGTTTTTCCTTCACTTCGGGTTCATCAACATTTTGAAGATGAGTGTGATTTACACTGCATAGGCAGAGAAAAGGAGTGTCCAGTGTTACATGGCTTAGCCAGGCTAGTACGCTGGTAGTCTGAAGTGGGGCGTCATGCCTTGATGACTGCATCCAATAAATAGGGCACCTTGTAGTTACACTGTAGTTACAGTCCGTGTGTCGAGGAAGGGGCCAGTGCCAGCGTTATTTCAGGAATGCAGAGGCTAATGCGATGAAGGTTCAGTGTTGATGGTGTTCTAGCAGGAGACACGCTAGCTAATGCTATAAGGAAACTAGTCAGGAGAAAGACCAGAGTGCACCGAGGTTCACTACAGTTAGGATGTTCAGGCAGGATGGAACCTCAGTGAGATGGGCTGAGGCCATTGGCTGCAGCGGGACTAGATCTGGATGAGGTTGTGTTAATGCATACGCAGTTAAATAGAATGACTGCCACTTATGCTGCTAGGTCCAGCTTCTTAGAAAAGCCTTCCTTGGGAGAGTTGGCAGGGCATAAAAATAAGTGATCTAATAAGGCATCTAATAAGTGATGATGGAGTCCACTGCTTTCACATCTCAAGTCAGGGTGTCAGGGATTGGCCAGGGCTTACCCTCATGTTTCCAGCTTAGCTGGGTCTTCATCATCTCCACAGTTCTTAAATTGATAATCTGTCTGATGTTGCCTTGAGGTGTGTTCCTGTAGTCTGTAGGTGTGAGACAGTTTGGGTGTACATTAGCGCCATCACTAGCTCTGACAGGTCCATCAACCCCAGTCTTAGGGTAGCTCTACTATTGTTACCTTTTCTGAAGTGTATTTTATATTTCCTTTAGTCCTTATAATTTCAGACTGTTACAAGAACTCCATTTGATAGTCTGGTGCGTAGTTTTTTTTATATATTTATTTATTATGTGTACAGCTTTCCTTCCATGTGTGCCCGCAAGCCAGAAGGGGGCACCAAGTCTCATTATAGATGGCTGTGAGCCACCATGTGGTTGCTGGGAATTAAACTCAGGACCTCTGGAAGAGCAGTCAGTGCTCTTAACCACTGAGCCATCTCTCCAGCCCTGTTGCGTAGTTTTTAATTCATCACAGATTGTTAGAAATCATCTTTCTCTGTTTTAACCCAGCACCGAGTTGTGCATACCTTGATGGTGCTGTTAGGAGTGACGGCCTCTCCCGTGCAGTAC